TTTGCTCGTCAAATGAACGCATTCAAAGACTACCGAAATGAAACACCTCAACCATTGACAGAAGAAGACATGCTCAAAAGAATAAAGCATATGACGGAAGTGGTTTTCCCAGCCATTAACGAAAAAAGCAAAGAAGCAGGAGAAAAGCAAAAAGAAAACTTTGACAAAACGCATCGCATAGTCGAATTTCCCAAGGGTAGTCACGTCATGGTACGAATCCCGACACGCACTGCTAAACTATCGCCTGCATATCGTGGCCCTTACACTGTAGTACGCAAAACAAAAGGTGGCTCCTACATCCTCTTGGATGAAACAGGAACGCTTGAAGACAGAAACTACCCACCATCCGATCTAAAACTCATATCACAAGACGAAGTCATCCCTGAAGATGAACTAAAAGAAGTACTAGCAGTAATCAAACATAAAGGCACACCCGGCAACAGAGAATACCTTGTTCGCTGGAAAAACTATGATGAAACCCATGATGAATGGCTAACCCCCGATAAATTCACTACTCCAAAGCCAATCGAAACATATTGGAAAAGACTTGGTCCCAAAGAAAAAGACGATCACCAGTTAAAATCACAGAATACAAAAACAGGAAATCGATCTAACGGAACAGGCAACACCAACTCTGCATATCGCACCAGATCCACTGGTTCAGTCCCTGACACTACCTCCGCTTATTTAAGACAGCGTAAGAAAAGATCCACTCCCACCACCAACCCTGAACAACACCGTCGAAGCAAAAAACAGCGCGCTCAATGAATACTGCTTCAACCGGTAGTTCCTACCTGGAGGGGGGTGATGTCGTATTCTAAGCACTGCTATAACGATCCTCTCATATACATTGTTACACCAATTTCATGGATCAAGACTCACACGCATAATATTCTCCATATTGCCCGACATCGTAAAATAACCATTTATTCTCCTTAACAAAGTTAACCTATGGGAAAACGTCTAGTAATCACCATCACGTAATCCTTTCAAACAGTATAAATAGTGGTATCAAAAGTCATTAGTAACATCCCTAAATGGAAAAATTGACCCTGAATAAAGACCCTACCAAGATTCTCAAGTGCTTCTACAGTCTCCTAATATCTCACCTAACACTTTTCATACCACAGAGTATTCGTAGTTGCTGTCGTCGCTTTCGGTTTCAGATTCTTCTTCTATGTCGGATTCGTCGGATTCTTCGTATAATGTTATACGCGGTTCTTGGTAACGTTCTGTCTTCTTGTTGGGTATTTCTCGAACGTATGTAAGTGGTACACAGGATTGTTGTCCCTTATAGTTGACGGTGATGGTTGCATCCTCAAAATTTATCTTTGCTTTTACAAGATCCAAGAAGTTTGTTCCAATAATGAGTGATACTAGGCAATTACCTAATACTTCGACTGTAATAGGCACTTCAAGGAAATTGCCAACTTGAATTTTGAAGTCTCGAATTACTCCTTGGGAGGCTTGAAACTTCCCGTTGCCCAAAGTAAACACTGTGTTTAATGGTCCATCAATCTTTAGACTTAATGTGTCCGCAAGCATTCTTGATATGCAGGTTTTGGCTGCTCCTGTATCAATAAGTGTTTCAACTGGATGTCCTTTCAGATGAAAATTTGCGTATGCTGCAGTTGAGTCTAGATTTGGCTTCAGTTCCAATATGTTTAGAGATTTATCTTTTCTTCTGCGTACAGCAGTGAAGCTATGTAGGTCTCGTCTAAATTTAGGACAAGCCTTGATAAGTTCTCCGATCTTTATTTGGGCTGTTATGTTGGATACATCTTCTACAATATCGTAGTTGATAATTGGTTTCGTTCTATGCGCGCGTCGTGGCTTTGGTTTTCTTGCTTCGTCGATGTTGTTCTTCCGTATAGGTTCCTTTCCGTTGTTCGGGGATCTGTCTATTTCCATCGATCGTTCAACTGGTCGATCCGTCATCGTTTGGTCATTCCTAGTAGTATCCATTGGTGTAGCCATCTCTCTTGGTATAGCCTGTGGTTGGTTCGTCGGCTCATTGGTTCTTGAAGATGATGGCCGTTTGTTGATTTCTTGTTCCTGGAATTGTACTCGTCGTTGTCGTTTCTTTGCTGGATCGGGTTTGTCTGCGTGTACAATTTTGTTGACTTTTGATCCTGATCTCAGGCTCATACTTCGTCGTTTTTCAGTGTTTTCTAAGCTCAAGGGTCGCTTTTGTACAGTGTATAAGTCTTGAGCATTGTTATATTCTCGATGTTGCAGGTCGGATTTGCTTTTGCTTTTGGGTGTTCTTCTGTTCCTTGCGGGTTTGTTATAGTTGGTGGGGGCGTTCAGTTGACCGCGTCTCTCATGAGCAACTGGCCCTAGTAGTTTTTTGGCTTGTTGTATCCTTGAGGTTCTTCGTAATACTGGTCGTCGTAGTATTCTTCTTCTGAATGCCAATAATCGTCAACATCGTCGTAGTAGTCCTCTTGGTATCGATCTTCCAAATGTGCGAAATTGCTGTACACATTGGGTCTGCTATTACTGTTCGGTCGATCTTCTTTTGGTGTTCTCATGGCAGGTTCCTCGTTCTGGTTGGGTCTTCCGTTCGACTGCCTTTGATCGTGGTTCTTTTGTTGTTGTGGACGTCCGTTGTTATGGCTTTGCTGCTGTTGATATGGTCGCTGGTTGTTGTTGTAGTAAGGTCGGCGGTCTTGATATGGGCGTTGTTTTTCATTCCCATTTTGTTGGTCATTGTAGTTTTGTCGTCGACCTGGTTGGTAAGGGTATCGTCTTTCTTGACTTCGAGGTGGATAGCTCGGTCGTCGTCCATCGTAGTTGGCATTGTTTTGCTGAAACCCGTTGTTTCTTTGTTGTGATCTGATAGCAATTCGTGCTGCTGTTGCAGGGGAGTATCCTGCCTCAACCAGTTGTTCGATCTTTTCATCCAAGATTTGATCTTCTTCCGTGTCTAGTTGGTTGTGGGGTTCACCCATTACGGCGAGCGTCTGGCCGTCTCTTCGTCTTTGGTTTACTCTGCGAATGCTTCCGTTGTCTCTTTCAGCATTCCAGTATCCTTCAGCGTATTGAAGTACCAATTCGTGCGTCAATGCGCGGCTTCTAATGCAATGTTTTCTGATTTCGGGTAGTAATCCAGCTTTGAATCGAGATTGTACTTGGCTTGCTTCCGTGATGCCTGCTTCATGAGCTGCTTCACGTAGTCTTCCGAGGAAAGATCTGGGGCTTTCATCGATCTTCTGCATTATGGTGTAGAAGTGTTCACGGAATCGTTGGATGTCATATTCAGCTACGTAGTTGTCTTCGAGCAAATCTAATGCTGCTGTAACTGTGACGGGGGAGTTGTTCTCATCTCTTTCTTCCTGTAATTCAGGCAAGACTTGAGTTTGGTAATAGGTTTAAGCCGGTCCTTGCAATACTCCTTGTAAAATTTCTAGTCGTCTTGTCTCCGATTGAGCGCCTGTGACGAGTATGTAAGAAGTGAACGCATGGCGAAATGTGCGGAAACTCTCATGCTCGAATCCACTGTAGGTCAGCCAATGAGGGGGCATGGAAGTGCGTGTGCTGTCGTCCAACAGAGTAAGTTCGTCTCGCACGTTGTTTGTTTGGAAAGCTCCTGGCATGTATTTTTGCATCTTGACTTGTCTTCTTGTCCTTGTTAGATATCCGAGCGGGCAGGTAGTTCTTGTCCTTGTGATTGTTTCGTGGGAATGCCTTGAAGTAGGATGTTCTTGAGATCGTTATCCTTGGTAATTGTCTTGTTTTGTGCTTGTTATCCCTCTAGTGAGCACCAGATGTGTTACGGTGAATTTGGGGTATTCCAGGTAGTTGCGTAACGGTTTATGTGTATGTTTTGTAGTGAGCACCAGTAATAATATCGTTTATTACAGACGGGTTGTGAAGTGATATGAGTGTAAAGTAAGGTAAAAATGTGTATGGGTTGTATCCAAGGTTGTAAATAGTAGTGAGCTGTTGTCTTGATTAAGCTCAGTGAGTAGAAATGAGGATCAGGGATGTTACGTCTGTCCAAAATTAATGAGGAATAAGGATCAGGAATGTTACGTCTGTCCAAGTAAATGAGAAATAAGAGCAGGAATGTTACGTCTGGTCTTAATAGAAGAGTTTATTTAGCTTCAGTTAAGAGCAATAAACAATATGTAAGTTAAAACAAGCCGTGTTTAGGTCTTGAGTGATTGAAAACAACACTTGAAAAGTTAAGTCAAAAGTGGGAGGTAGAAATTCAATGTCTTTATTCAAATAAAAATGATGGGGTATTTATATCTTTCTGGTTATTTAATAATGTCTAAGATAATTCATGCTGCGGTTGCTGCGGTTGCTGCGCAACGCCAATGCTGCGGTAGTTGTTGTTACTGCGGATGCTGCGGTAATGCTCTTATTCAACAAGCTGTTCATCGAATCTTTACAAGGTAAAGGGTTCGTTCTATTTATAGTTGTTCCTTTTGATAATTTGGGGGTGCAAGAGAGTTGTAGAGTTGCTGCGGTTGCTGCGGTAGTTACGTATTGTATTCTGATTGCCGCTTGGTGTGTGTTTCTTTTGTATGTTTGGTTTATCTGTTATGGGTGGTTCTCAGGGTAACACACCTCCTCGGGCCCGGAAAAAGATGGTCCCACATCGTTTAAATTGTTGTATAATGGATCGTAAAGTCGCTCTGTATGTGCGTCGGCGCTCCATCCGTTCGTATTTTTGTTGTAATTCTTTTGTAATGTTCCTTGGATCGTAAAGTCACGCTGTGTATATGTTGGTGCTCCATCCTTTTACTTGAATTGTCTCTTGGTGTCATTGGAATAGTTGTTGTGTGTTTGTATATGTGTATGACTAGTTTTCCCTTTTAATGCTGTAACCAATTTGAATATTTATTTGTGTATAAGATGTATATGTGTGTATGAGTGTGGTACAGTTGATAGATAGATATGTGATATGTAATAAGAATGTTTTGTGGGAGTTTTTTGTGTTATATGATTTTTTTTTTTTTTTACATTTTTGTTTTTGTTTTTTTTTTTTTTTTGGGTTACAGCAAGGTTACTATTCCAGAGTCGTCTATTCAGACCCTTCTTGGCGATTGCCAAACATGAGGTGGCAACAATCTCGGCAGTATGTATTTGTGGGTATCCAAGTGAATGTATTTTGTAGGATAATATTCAGGACGATAGATCTCACTTGATCCTCTGTAAAATATGCCTGAGGCCGGACGCGGCACCTCGCTACAAGCCTATTTGTACGACCCACCAGTAGCATCAATCTTTCGTTGACATACTCTCTCATAGCCAAGAGCGTATTGGCTTCTGCAAGATGGCTTGTAAGCTCAGTATGAACGTGTGAGCTCTCTTGTACAAGGTTCGAGATCCTTTCGAACGCGCTTTCCATTGGTTGTGGTGTTGGTGTTGGTGTTGGTAATGTAGACGTAGCCGATCGCTCGTCAATGTCCATGGGGTCAGTTCCATGGCTACTTATGCTCGGGTTTGGGCCCCATCCGCCTTCATTTATGTTTGGGATATACGTGGGCGGTGATCCCCATCCGTCCAGGTTGTGAAGGTCCGTTGTGGTTTCGTGTGCCCATGGGGCAGCAATGTTGATTCCCGTGTTGCTCTGGATAATGTTGTTGTTGTTCATATTCGCAATATGGTAGTAGTTATTTTCTCTCCTTTTCCTTTTCTTTGTCTTCTCTTTTATATGTTTTTTTTTCTTTTACAGTCTTTTCTCTATGTATTTTATAATATGTTCTTCTCGAAGTGTATAATTTTTTTTTTTATGCATTTGCACGTTTATATTTCAGAGTTATTGGTTTATGAACGTCCTCTGGTAGGTCGATAGCTACTATCTCTTTTCTTCTTTTTCTTTGTTTTTCTCCGATTTCCTGCATTTTTAGTCCTTCTCGATTTTCCTTGCTGCGGCATCGTCTGTGTTGTTTCGTCTTGGTCTGATTCTGATACATCTTCTTGTGGTGGTACTGCATCGACCTCGTCAGTAATGAGGTGCAGCGATGCCTGAGATATTGGGGCTCGGTACTCGGTATCAGGTAAGGTATAAGAGCGCAATCGGTTTCCATGGTAGGGGTTCGGTAAGAATCTTCCTTGCATCGTTTTTAATCGATAGGTACCGCGTTTGTTGACCTTGTGAATCAAGAATGGTCCTTCCCATAGATCTTCTAGGCGTCCTGCCCAATTTCCTTCCAAGTAATTTTGATATACTTGAACAGTATCTCCAATTTGGAAAGGGCGTTTCAGTTCCTTGCCTTACTGTAGTAATTTCTTATCGATTCTCCGTTTCTGTGCCGCTTGTGCACTTTTGATTGTATCAATCGCTTCTTCTCTTATTGTATTGAGTCTTGTGATATGTTCCTCAAATAAGTCGAGTATGATCGTATCTTCGTCGCGCTCATCATCCTCTTCCAGGAGATCTGCAATGTTTGTTTGTGGTTGCACGTGTCGGTCGAAAGGTGTATGTGGTTCTCGTCCGTAGATCAAGTAAAATGGAGATCTCTTCGTCGTTTCTTGTCGAATGCTGCGGTATGCGAATAGTAGTGCAGGTAGGTACATTGGCCAGTTCTTCTTTTCTTCTTTATTGAGTCTTTTCAACATGACTCCGACCGTTCGATTAAATCGTTCGACTAGTCCATTCGCTTGTGGATGATATGGTGATGTGAGTCGATGTTCGATGCCGTATTGCTTGCAGACGGCATTTACAAGGTTGTTTTAGATAGGTAAGCCGTTGTCTGAGCACAAAACACGTGGGCAGCCATGTATAGTAATGACATATTCGTAAACAAACTGAGAAACTTCTGCTGCATTTGCCACTTGTAAGGCACGTGCTTCGACATATTTGCTGAAAGAACAAATAGCTACAATGATATAGCGATGTAGGCTCTGGGCTGTTGGTAGATGTTTGATATCGATATGCACGTTCTCAAACGGAATGTTCGAAACCGGAATCGGGTATAGTGTTTCTTGGTTGTTGGGTTTCTTGTGTTGGTGACACCGGTCGCATTGTGCGATGAATTGTTTTACGTCTTGCGCCATTCCTCGCCAGTAGTATTTTGTTTTTAGCTTGAATAGTGTATTTTGGAATGCAAAATGTCCCCCAAGAGGATGTTTGTGTACCATCCAGATTGCATCTTTGATCTCGCTCCTCTGTAGGATCATTTTTGGCGTGGATCCTTTGCGGTAGAGTTTTCCATTTATAACGATATAGTGTTCGTTTTGAGTGCGAATTGTTTTCCGTAGTTCCTTGCTACTAGTTGGTGGGTATTCGAGTGTTTCAAGATAATACTTGAGTCCGTTGTATATGTTGTTATCCATTGTGATTTTGGTTGTGACACAGTAGATGTAGTTGTATGTCGTCGAGTAATTTGAGAATGTTTCAAAATAAGCTTTGTGCGGGGTGATGTTGTAATAGTGTTGTGATCGACGTTGGTATGTTGCTATCAGTGTTGTTTCGTGATGTGTTGATAATCAGTTTGTGATCGGCGTCCGGTTGGCTTTGTGGTACGTTGATTGATTGTGTTCAGTGTTTCAAGTGTTATGCAGTTGTTGTGGTCTGGAATCTTTAGATTTTTCGCGGCGTTTGGAATGTCCTGTGTTGGTGACTTCGGTTATTTTTGGTGTATTCTCGTCTTGCTGTATTGTTCGTCAGTCGTCGTCTTTTCTTCTTGTTTTTTCTCCAGTTCAACGTCTTCGAAATTTCCGCATTTGAATCGTAGGCAACGGTCGAATTTGCTGTTCGTGGTTTCTCCAAATCCTGGTAGTCTGCTGAGGAAGTCAACGTTTCGGTTTTGGTGGGCGCTCTTGTAATGTACGTCGAATTCGTATTCACTCAGTGTCTCAATCCACCTGGCCATTATGCCTGTTGGTTCTTTCTGGTTTAATATTCCACGTAGTGCGCTGTGGTCACAATATACGTCGAATTTGTTCAGCAAGAATGGTTTTAAGAGTCTTGCACTCCAGACAAGACATGCCGTCTCTAATCGGGAACTGCTATAGTTCTTTTCTCCTTTTGTGGTGACGCGTGAGTGGTAAGATATTACTCTCTCTTTTCCTTGGTCGTCCTTTTGCATTAATGCTGCTCCAAATGCTTCTTTTGATGCATCTACTCTCAGTATGAAAGGTTTATGGAAATCCGGTCGTGCTAGGATGGGTGGAGAAATAAGAGTTTCTTTCAGTTTATTAAAAGCTTTGGTTTCCTCTTCTCCCCATGGCTTGGCATCTTGCTTGGTCTGGTTATATAGTACTCGTGCTATCGCACTGAACCGCGGTATCCAGTTTCGGTACCATGACATACAGCCTAAAAAGGACTTCAGCTGTGTCACAGTTTTCGGTATTGGTAATTCTCGAATTTTCTTGGTGCGTGCTTCATCTACGCAAATTCCTTCTCCAGTGATGATGTGTCCAAGGAATGAAATATCAGTTTTGAAAAACCAACATTTTTTAACTCCAAGTTTTAGTCCAGCATTTCGTAAACATTCAAATACTCGGCGAAGGTGTTCAAGATGGTCCTCAGTTGTTTTTGAATGCACGTTCAAGTCATCCAGGTATCGACAAAGTATGTCTTCTTCTTTTTGGAATGTTAGTCGTACTAGGGTTACGAAAACAGATGGTGCGGCGTGGTATCCTTGTGGTAGTCGGTTGAACTCATATGCTCCAAATTTTGTAGAGAAAGCCGTTAGCGGTTTGCTTTGTTCGGCGAGTTTTACTTGGAAGTATCCATCCTTTAAGTCAAGGCTTGAAAAAATCCGGGATTGTCCTACAGCTTGTATTTCCTGCCAAAAGTTGTCTACGTATGTCGCCGGTCGTATGGATGATTTATTCAACCCTCGCATGTCGGCAATGAATCTGTATGACTTGTTGTCCTTTTTCTTGATGAGCATGACTGGTGCGGCCCAAGGTGAGTTGGATGGTCGTATTATTCCGAGGCGGCAGTATCGATCGAGTTCCTTTTTCAGTGCAGCAGCTTCTACAGGTGCTAATCTGTAGGGTTTGGAGGCTACTGGTATCGCGTCCTTCTTTAGAGTGATTTTATGTTCCAATAGGTCGGTACATCCAAGATCGTCGTCTGTCCAGGCAAAGCAGTCTTGATATTGTCGTACGAGTTCGAGAAAGGCTTTTCGTAGCTTGCCATCGTGGTCATCAGGGATGTCAGGTATGTTGAGTAACTTTAATTGTTCTTCGTTAACGGGGTCGGTGTTGGAATATCTTTGTTGGATTCGGTTCGGTTCACCATTGGTGTTTCTATTCCGGGGTCTGCATTGTCTTGTATTTCATGAAAGGTGCCAATAAAGCTCGGTGGTGAAATAATCAATTGTGAAGGCAGATTATTTTTGATCGTGATGGTGAAGGTTGTGGCTCCTTGTTCTATGTCTGGGCAGAAGTATTCATGTCTTGTTTCTGCAGGGTGGACTCCTTGTTCTGGTACAAAATATAGTGGTTTCGTTGTGGGTCTGAGAAATCTACCGTGCACTTGAGTGGTAAAATCGGCGGGTATAGTAATGTTCTCTTTCGACCAAACTTCTATGGTGTTATTCGGCTCGATGTTCCTGGTCTCCAGTAGTGTAGGTGATTGTGCACCGTGATCCAAGAAGAATAACTCTTCCTCGTATCGGGTTCCTTGTCGTTGTAGTGTTGGATACGGATATTGCAGGTTGATATCGTAACCATATATCTCTTCATTGTTCAAGTCTTCAGAGTATACGCTATCGGAGTCATCGTCTCGTATATAATGTTGCTCCATGTAGTCTCCTAGTAAGAATCCACTTGGGATATCTACTTCGCAGAATGAAAAGTTTTCCAGGGTGATCGTGCAGTCTGTGGTTCCGGCTCGTATGCTAGGATAATTGGTTGCTTCAATGGGTGCAGTCGCTGATATTTGCGGATAGAAGTTTACATCTGCAAGATTGTGCGAGGTAATTTCCCATAGAAATATGCTTTTCCCTTTGGTGGTATTGTGAATCCCTCGGCTGTTTCGACTTCAAAACAGGGTGATCCATCGGCAGCTGTCCATTCCTTGACATTTGGTTTGTAACGTTGGCGGTCATCGTTTAGAAAGAATTCTGCATGTTTTGTTTGTTCGATCTCCTCTTCTCCCGAGGATTCTTCATCATCACTTTCTTCTGATGAGGTTGATTCGTCGTTTCACTACTGGAGTATTCGTAATTGCTGTCGTCGCTTTCGGTTTCAGATTCTTCTTCCATGTCGGATTCGTCGGATTCTTCGTATAATGTTATACGCGGTTCTTGGTAACGTTGTGTCTTCTTGCTGGGCATTTCTCGAACGTATGTAAGTGGTGCACAGGATTGCTGTCCCTTATAGTTGACGGTGATGGTTGCATCCTCAAAATTTATCTTTGCTTTTACAAGATCCAAGAAGTTTGTTCCAATAATGAGTGATACTGGGCAATTACCTAATACTTCGACTGTAATAGGCACTTCAAGGAAATTGCCAACTTGAATTTTGAAGTCTCGAATTACTCCTTGGGAGGCTTGAAACTTCCCGTTGCCCAAAGTAACACTGTGTTTGACGGTCCATCAATCTTTAGACTTAATGTGTCCGCAAGCATTCTTGATATGCAGGTTTTGGCTGCTCCTGTATCAATAAGTGTTTCAACTGGATGTCCTTTCAGATGAAAATTTGTGTATGCTGCAGTTGAGTCTAGATTTGGCTTCAGTTCCAATATGTTTAGAGATTTATCTTTTCTTCTGCGTACAGCAGTGAAGCTATGTAGGTCTCGTCTAAATTTAGGACAAGCCTTGATAAGTTCTCCGATTTTTATTTGGGCTGTTATGTTGGATACATCTTCTACAATATCGTAGTCGATAATTGGTTTCGTTCTAGGCGCGCGTCGTGGCTTTGGTTTTCTTGCTTCGTCGATGTTGTTCTTCCGTATAGGTTCCTTTCCTTTGTTCGGGGATCTGTCTATTTCCATCGGTCGTTCAACTGGTCGATCCGTCATCGTTTGGTCATTCCTAGTAGTATCCATTGGTGTAGCCATCTCTCTTGGTATAGCCTGTGATTGATTCGTCGGCTCATTGGTTCTTGAAGATGATGGTCGTTTGTTGACTTCCTGTTCCTGGAATTGTACTCGTCGTTGTCGTTTCTTTGCTGGATCGGGTTTGTCTGCGTGTACAATTTTGTTGACTTTTGATCCTGATCTCAGGCTCATACTTCGTCGTTTTTCAGTGTTTTCTAAGCTCAAGGGTCGCTTTTGTACAGTGTATAAGTCTTGAGCGTTGTTATATTCTCGATGTTGCAGATCGGATTTGCTTTTGCTTTTGGTTGTTTTTCGGTTCCTTGCGGGTTTGTTATAGTTGGTGGGGGCGTTCAGTTGACCGCGTCTCTCATGAGCAACTGGCCCTAGTAGTTTTTTGGCTTGTTGTATCCTTGAGATTCTTCGTAATACTGGTCGTCGTAGTATTCTTCTTCTGAATGCCAATAATCGTCAACATCGTCGTAGTAGTCCTCTTGGTATCGATCTTCTAAATGTGCGAAATTGCTGTACACATTGGGTCGGCTATTACTGTTCGGTCGATCTTCTTTTGGTGTTCTCATGGCAGGTTCCTCGTTCTGGTTGGGTCTTCCGTTCGACTGCCTTTGATCGTGGTCCTTTTGTTGTTGTGGACGTCCGTTGTTATGGCTTTGTGGCTGTTGATATTGTCGCTGGTTGTTGTTGTAGTAAGGTCGGCGGTCTTGATATGGGCGTTGTCTTTCATTCCCATTTTGCTGGTCATTGTAGTTTTGTCGTCGACCTGGTTGGTAAGGGTATCGTCTTTCTTGACTTCGAGGTGGATAGCTTGGTCTTCGTGCATTGTAGTTGGCATTGTTTTGCTGAACCATGTTGCTTCTTTGTTGTGATCTGAAGGCAATTCGCGCTGCTGTTGCAGGGGAGTATCCTGCCTCAACCAGTTGTTCGATCTTTTCATCTAAGATTTGATCTTCTTCCGTGTCTAGTTGGTTGTGGGGTTCACCCATTACGGCGAGCGTCTGGCCGTCTCTTCGTCTTTGGTTTACTCTGCGAATGCTTCCGTTGTCTCTTTCAGCATTCCAGTATCCTTCAGCGTATTGAAGTACCAATTCGTGCGTCAATGCGCAGCTTCTAATGCAATGCTTTCTGATCTCGGGTAGTAATCCAGCTTTGAATCGAGATTGTACTTGGCTTGCTTCCGTGATGCCTGCTTCATGAGCTGCTTCACGTAGTCTTCCGAGGAAAGATCTGGGGCTTTCATCGATCTTCTGCATTATGGTGTAGAAGTGTTCGCGGAATCGTTGGATGTCATATTCAGTTACGTAGTTGTCTTCGAGCAAATCTAATGCTGCTGTAACTGTGACGGGGGAGTTGTTCTCATCTCTTTCTTCCTGTAATTCAGGCAAGACTTGAGTTTGATAATAGGTTAAAGCCGGTCCTTGCAATACTCCTTGCAAAATTTCTAGTCGTCTTGTCTCCGATTGAGCGCCTGTGACGAGTATGTAAGAAGTAAACGCACGACGAAATGTGCGGAAACTCTCATGCTCGAATCCACTGTAAGTCAGCCAATGAGGGGGCATGGAAGAGCGTGTGCTGTCGTCCAACAGAGTAAGTTCGTCTCGCACGTTGTTTGTTTGGAAAGCTCCTGGCATGTATTTTTGCATCTTGACTTGTCTTCTTGTCTTTGATAGATATCCGATCGGGCAGGTAGTTCTTGTCCTTGTGATTGTTTCGTGGGAATGCCTTGAAGTAGGATGTTCTTGAGATCGTTATCCTTGGTAATTATCTCGTTTTGTGCTTGTTATCCCTCTAGTGAGCACCAGATGTGTTACGGTGAATTTGGGGTATTCCAGGTAGTTGCGTAACGGTTTATGTGTATGTTTTGTAGTGAGCACCAGTAATAATATCGTTTATTACAGACGGGTTGTGAAGTGATATGAGTGTAAAGTAAGGTAAAAATGTGTATGGGTTGTATCCAAGGTTGTAAATAGTAGTGAGCTGTTGTCTTGATTAAGCTCAGTGAGTAGAAATGAGGATCAGGGATGTTACGTCTGTCCAAAATTAATGAGGAATAAGGATCAGGAATGTTACGTCTGTCCAAGTAAATGAGAAATAAGAGCAGGAATGTTACGTCTGGTCTTAATAGAAGAGTTTATTTAGCTTCAGTTAAGAGCAATAAACAATATGTAAGTTAAAACAAGCCGTGTTTAGGTCTTGAGTGATTGAAAACAACACTTGAAAAGTTAAGTCAAAAGTGGGAGGTAGAAATTCAATGTCTTTATTCAAATAAAAATGATGGGGTATTTATATCTTTCTGGTTATTTAATAATGTCTAAGATAATTCATGCTGCGGTTGCTGCGGTTGCTGCGGTAACTTGCTGTTACTGCGGATGCTGCGGTAGTTGTTGTTACTGCGGATGCTGCGGTAGTTGTTGTTACTGCGGATGCTGCGGTAATGCTCTTATTCAACAAGCTGTTCATCGAATCTTTACAAGGTAAAGGGTTCGTTCTATTTATAGTTGTTCCTTTTGATAATTTGGGGGTGCAAGAGAGTTGTAGAGTTGCTGCGGTTGCTGCGGTAGTTACGTATTGTATTCTGATTGCCGCTTGGTGTGTGTTTCTTTTGTATGTTTGGTTTATCTGTTATGGGTGGTTCTCGGGGTAACAATACGATGGATTCAGGAACAGTACAGGCTGATGTTTTGGAAATGTTCTGGTTTTCATCGAGAAAGGGCTGTATGGCTTGAAGGAGTTTGTTGCGTTCTTCAGGTGTGCTATATGGAGAGTTGTTTGGTGTTGGTACATCTTTACCGCTCTCCAGGTCAATTTTCTTTTCGGTGGAATTATCTATTTCATCCCATTTATGGGCAACGCCCTGTAGGAAGATTCCGAGTTTAGGCAAAAGGTCTGAGCCAATGTATAGTTCGATATTGTCTTCCAGTTCCATTACTTCAAACGCGTGTGATGTGTGTAACCCATTATATTTTATTTGTTTGGTTTCGGTGATTCCGATGCGGTCAATATACATGTTTTTTGCAGCTAAGTGTAGTTTGCCCTTTGCAGGCGAATACGACCATGAATGTTTACTGATGAGTTTGATACTTATAGCAGACGCTTCACAACCAGTATCTATATAGCCCATGAATTTCTTGTTTTCTATTAAGATAGGTGTATATAGAGAATATGGTTTGTCTGTGAGTAGCTCGTTTGGAGGGTCACGTTTGGAGGATCTGATAGTTTTGTTTGTGTTTTGCTTACAGTGTTCGTTTTCTTTTGCGAATTCGAGGTCGACCATGTCTTCGACAAGGTCGTCAAGCTCGGAATCGCTGGCGTTTCCGCCGTTGTTTGATTGTTCTGTGCGCATGACTGCGCGAATTCTTGGACCTGAGGAGGCGCCGGTGTTGCTGTTGTTATTGCTGCTGCTTTCTTTCGCCTTGTGTTCGTAGAATTCTGGGCATTTGTGTCCAACTGACCATGGCTTCTTGCACCATTTACAATTGTTGGTGGCAGTCATTTTGCCCAATTTTTTGCACTCGGCAGACGAATGATGAGCGCTGGGCCCATGGTATGAACAACCAACAGGACGGTGACTTTGCGAGCCTGTGGGTGTGTTTGATGAGTTTGTGTGTGTGCGGCGACGTGAGTGCGCGCGCGAGGAGGAATCCTCTGCAGCGTACGACTGCTGGTGAGTGCGCTTGTGCACGGACACGGCTTGGGCGATCTCTAGGGCGGCAGAGACGGACTTCGGCAACTTCTTTCCTTTGCGGTTGTGCCAGGCGACCAACGTGTTTTCGCGAATGTGCGGCAGTAGCGAGGCCAGGAAGCGCAGGGCTAATTGTTGGCTATCCGTTATTTCTGCCTCGCGGGCAGCGGCGAGGAACCTCGTACTATAGTCGAGCGTACTTTCGTTGCTGCGCATGGTCATCGTGAACACCTCGGTGGCCTTGGCAATGATTCGATCAGATGACTCGAAGTGATGAAGGAATGTTTTCTTGGCCTTTTTCCATGACAGTCCCTTGCCCTTAAGCTCTCTTTCAACCCAGGCGTCATGGTCCTGGTGAATGGCGAGGGGGAGCCACTTTTCCCAGTCGCAGTCCAGATCACCTTCCATGGCGGACAATGCGAGCTCGAAGGTACGAGCGAAATGGCTTGGTGAGCTAAATACTTCCTTGTTGTGGCGCCAAATATGCGCACCGGAGAGCTGGAATACGGGTAAGTCCTTGTATGTCATTCGGCACGCGGGTTTCTTCTGCGTTGGTGCCTGTTCTGTTTCCTTGCCAGGTTGGTTATCCGCAGTCAGGTCCTTCAGGAGGTCTTGGAAGCGGTGGAGGTTTGCTTGAGCTTTTTTGATCCGAGAAGTCAGGGTCTTGCGCTCTTCATCGGCATCGTTCTTGGTGAGGGCGTGTGCGAGGCTGATGCCGAGTTCGCCAATGCGTTTCTTGTAGAAGTTGATGGACTTCTCGAAGACCACTTGGGGGTCGGCGTGCTCGGACTCCAGCGAACCTTGAAGATCGAGCTCTTGGTACTCGACGCCTTCCATTTCCGAGTTGGCTTGGGCCGGCGAGGATGTTTGTTCTTGGTTGATTTGGGGTTCATCGTCGGCACGGGGAGAAGAGGGGGTGGAGGTTTGTTGGTTGCTGTTGTTCATGGTAGATAATTCAAGTGAAAAAAAAATGTGGTATGAAAAGTGTTAGGTGAGATATTAGGAGACTGTAGAAGCACTTGAGAATCTTGGTAGGGTCTTTATTCAGGGTCAATTTTTCCATTCAGGGATGTTACTAATGACTTTTGATACTACTATTTATACTGTTTGAAAGGATTACGTGATGGTGATTACTAGACGTTTTCCCATGGGTTAACTTTGTTAAGGAGAATAAATGGTTATTTTACGATGTCGGGCAATATGGAGAATATTATGCGTGTGAGTCTTGATCCATGAAATTGGTGTAACAATGTATATGAGAGGATCGTTATAGCAGTGCTTAGAATACGACATACTCTAGTAGTGAAAGCGATGAATCAATTTCATCAGAAGAAAGTGATGATGAAGAATCCTCGGGAGAAGAGGAGATCGAACAAACAAGACATGCAGAATTCTTTCTAAACGATGACCGCCAACGTTACAAACCGAATGTCAAGGAATGGACAGCTGCCGATGGATCACCCTGTTTTGAAGTCGAAACAGCCGAGGGATTCACAATACCACCAAAGGGAAAAGCAAATGTCTATGGGAAATTACCTCGCACAATCTCTGCAGATGTAAACTTCTATCCGCAAATATCAGCGACTGCACCCATTGAAGCAACCAATTATCCTAGCATATGAGCCGGAGCCACAGACTGCACGATCACCCTGGAAAACTTTTCATTCTGCGAAGTAGATATCCCAAGTGGATTCTTACTAGGAGACTACATGGAGCAACATTATATACGAGACGATGCCTCCGATACAGTATACTCTGAAGACTTGAACAATGAAGAGATATATGGTTACGATATCAACCTGCAATACCCATATCCAACACTGCAACGACAAGGAGCCCGATACGAGGAAGAGTTATTCTTCTTGGATCACGGTGCACAATCATCTACATTACTGGAGACCAGGAACATCGAGCCGAATAACACCATAGAAGTTTGGTCGAGAGAGAACATTACTATACCCGCCGATTGTACCACTCAAGTGCACGGTAGATTTCTCAGACCCACAACGAAACCACTATATTTTGTACCAGAACAAGGAGTCCACCCTGCAGAAACAAGACATGAACACTTCTGCCCAGACATAGAATAAGGAGCCACAACCTTCACCATCACGATCAAAAATAATCTGCATTTACAATTGTTTATTTCACCACCGAGCTTTATTGGCACCTTTCATGAAATACAAGACAATGCAGACCCCGGAATAGAAACACCAATGGTGAACCGAACCGAATCCAACAAAGATATTCCAACACCGACCCCGTTAACCGAAGAACAATTAAAGTTACTCAACATACCTGACATCCCTGATGACCACGATGGAAAGCTACGAAAAGCCTTTCTCGAACTCGTACGACAATATCAAGACTGCTTTGCCTGGACAGACGACGATCTTGGATGTACCGACCTATTGGAACATAAGATCACTCTAAAGAAGGACGCGATACCAGTAGCCTCCAAACCCTACACACTAGCACCTGTAGAAGCTGCTGCACTGAAAAAGGAACTCGATCGATACTGCCGCCTCGGAATAATACGACCATCCAACTCACCCTGGGCCGCACCTGTCATGCTCATCAAGAAAAAGGACAACAAATCATACAGATTCATTGCCGACATGCGAGGGTTAAATAAATCATCCATACGATCGGCGACATACGTAGACAACTTTTGGCAGGAAATACAAGCTGCAGGACAATCCCGGATTTTTTCAAGCCTTGACTTAAAGGATGGATACTTCCAAGTAAAACTCGCCGAACAAAGCAAACCGCTAACGGCTTTCTCTACAAAATTTGGAGCATATGAGTTCAACCGACTACCACAAGGATACCACGCCGCACCATCTGTCTTCGTAACCCTAGTACGACTAGCATTCCAAAAAGAAGAAGACATACTTTGTCGATACCTGGATGACTTGAACGTACATTCAAAAACAACTGAGGACCATCTTGAACACCTTCGCCGAGTATTTGAATGTTTATGAAATGCTTGACTAAAACTTGGAGTTAAAAAATGTTGGTTTTTCAAAACTGATATTTCATTCCTTGGACACATCATCACTGGAGAAGGAATTTGCGTAGATGAAGCACGCACCAAGAAAATTCGAGAATTACCTATACCGAAAACTGTGACACAGCTGAAGTCCTTTTTAGGCTCACGACCAGATTTCCATAGACCTTTCATACTGAGAGTAGATGCATCAAAGGAAGCATTTGGCGCAGCATTAATGCAAAAGGACGACCAAGGAAAAGAGAGAGTAATATCTTACCACTCACGCGTCACCACAAAAGGAGAAAAGAACTATAGCAGTTCCTGATTAGAGACGGCATGTCTTGTCTGGAGTGCAAGACTCTTGAAACCATTCTTGTTGAACAAATTCGACGTGTATTGTGACCACAGCGCACTACGTGGAATATTAAACCAGAAAGAACCAACAGGCATAATGGCCAGGTGGATTGAGACACTGAGTGAATACGAATTCGACGTACATTACAAGAGCGCCCACCAAAACCGAAACGTTGACTTCCTCAGCAGACTACCAGGATTTGGAGAAACCACGAACAGCAAATTCGACCGTTGCCTACGATTCAAATGCGGAAATTTCGAAGATGTTGAACTGGAGAAAAAACAAGAAGAAAAGACGACGACTGACGAACCAATACAGCAAGACGAGAACACACCAAAAATAACCGAAGTCACCAACACAGGACATTCCAAACGCCGCGAACAAATCTAAAGATTCCAGACTACAACAACTGCATAACACTTGAAACACTGAACACAATCAATCAACGTACCACAAAGCCAACCGGACGCCGATCACAAACTGATTATCAACACATCACGAAACAACACTAATAGCAACATACCAACGTCGATCACAACACTATTACACCATCACCCCGCACAAAGCTTATTTTGAAACATTCTCAAATTACTCGACGACATACAATTACATCTACTATGTCACAACCAAAATCACAATGGATAACAACATATACAACGGACTCAAGTATTATCTTGAAACACTCGAATACCCACCAACTAGTAGCAAGGAACTACGGAAAACAATTCGCACTCAAAACGAACACTATATCGTTATAAATGGAAAACTCTACCGCAAAGGATCCACGCCAAAAATGATCCTACAGAGGAGCGAGATCAAAGATGCAATCTGGATGGTACACAAACATCCTTTTGGGGGACATTTTGCATTCCAAAATACACTATTCAAGCTAAAAACAAAATACTACTGGAGAGGAATGGCGCAAGACGTAAAACAATTCATCGCACAATGCGACCGGTGTCACCAACACAAGAAACCCATCAACCAAGAAAAACTATACCCGATTCCTGTTTCGAACATTCCGTTTGAGAACGTGCATATCGATATCAAACATCTACCAACAGCCCAGAGCCTACATCGCTATATCATTGTAGCTATTTGTTCTTTCAGCAAATATGTCGAAGCACGTGCCTTACAAGTGGCAAATGCAGCAGAAGTTTCTCTGTTTGTTTACGAATGTGTCATTACTATACATAGCTGCCCACGTGTTTTGTGCTCAGACAACGGCTTACCTATCCAAAACAACCTTGTAAATGCCGTCTGCAAGCAATACGGCATCGAACATCGACTCACATCACCATATCATCCACAAGCGAACGGACTAGTCGAACGATTCAATCGGTCGGAGTCATGTTGAAAAGACTCAATAAAGAAGAAAAGAAGAACTGGCCAATGTACCTACCTGCACTACTATTCGCATACCGCAGCATTCGACAAGAAACGACGAAGAGATCTCCATTTTACTTGATCTACGGACGAGAACCACATACACCTTTTGACCGACACGTGCAACCACAAACAAACATTGCAGATCTCCTGGAAGAGGATGATGAGCGCGACGAAGATACGATCATACTCGACTTATTTGAGGAACATATCACAAGACTCAATACAATAAGAGAAGAAGCGATTGATACAATCAAAAGTGCACAAGCGGCACAGAAACGGAGAATCGAAAAGAAATTACTGCAGCAAGGCAAGGAACTGAAACGCCCTTTCCAAATTGGAGATACTGTTCAAGTATACCAAAATTACTTGGAAGGAAATTGGGCAGGACGCCTAGAAGATCTATGGGAAGGACCATTCTTGATTCACAAGGTCAACAAACGCGGTACCTATCGATTAAAAACGATGCAAGGAAGATTCTTACCGAACCCCTACCATGGAAACCGATTGCGCTCTTATACTTTACCTGATACCGAGTACCGAGCCCCAATATCTCAGGCATCGCTGCACCTCATTACCGACGAGATCGAAGCAGTACCACCACAAGAAGATGTATCAGAATCAGACCAAGACGAAACAACACAGACGATGCCGCAGCAAGGAAAATCGAGAAGGACTAAAACTGCAGGAAATCGGAGAAAAACAAAGAAAAAGAAGAAAAGAGATAGTAGCTATCGACCTACTAGAGGACGTTCATAGAACAATAACTCTGAAATATAAACGTGCATGCATAAAAAAAGAATTTATACACTTGAAAAAGAACATATTATAAAATAGAGAAAAGACTGTAAAAGAAAAAAAAACATATAAAAGAGAAGACAAAGAAAAGGAAAAGGAGAGAAAATAACCACTATCATATTGCAAACATGAACAACAACAACAACAACATTAATCAAAACAACACTGGAATCAACATTGCTGCCCCGTGGACACATGAAACCACAACAGAACATCACAACCTGGACGGATGGGGATCATCACCCACGCATATTTTAAACATGAATGAAGGCGGATGGGGCCCAAACCCGAGCCCAAGTAGCCACGGAACTGACCCCATGGACATTGACGAGCAATCGACTGCGTCGACATTACCAACACCAACACCACAACCAATGGAAAGCGCGTTCGAAAGGATATCGACCCTCGTACAAGAGAGCCCGCACATACATACTGAACTTACAAGCTACTTTGCAGAAGCCACTACGCTCTTGACCATGAGGGAGTATGTCAACGAAAGATTAATGCTACTGGCGGGCCGTACAAATAGGCTTGTAGCGAGGTGCCGCATCCGGCCTCAGGCATATTTTACAGAGGATCAAGTGAGATCTATCGTCCTGAATATTATCCTACAAAATACATTCACTTGGATACCCACAAATACATACTGCCGAGATTGTTGCCACCTCATGTTTGGCAATCGCCAAGAAGGGTCTGAATAGACGACTCTGGAATAGTAACCTTGCTGTAACCCAAAAAAAAAAAAAAACAAAAACAAAAATGTAAAAAAAAAAAAATAATCATATAACACAAAAAACTCCCACAAAACATTCTTATTACATATCACATATCTATCTATCAACTGTACCACACTCATACACACATATACATCTTATACACAAATTAATATTCAAATTGGTTACAGCATTAAAAGGGAAAACTAGTCATACACATATACAAACACACAACAACTATTCCAATGACACCAAGAGACAATCCAAGTAAAAGGATGGAGCACCAACATATACACAGCGTGACTTTACGATCCAAGGAACATTACAAAAGAATTACAACAAAAATACGAACGGATGGAGCGCCGACGCACATACAGAGCGACTTTACGATCCATTATACAACAATTTAAACGATGTGGGACCATCTTTTTCCGGGCCCGAGGAGGTGTGTTACCCTGAGAACCACCCATAACAGATAAACCAAACATACAAAAGAAACACACACCAAGCGGCAATCAGAATACAATACGTAACTACCGCAGCAACCGCAGCAACTCTACAACTCTCTTGCACCCCCAAATTATCAAAAGGAACAACTATAAATAGAACGAACCCTTTACCTTGTAAAGATTCGATGAACAGCTTGTTGAATAAGAGCATTACCGCAGCATCCGCAGTAACAACAACTACCGCAGCATTGGCGTTGCGCAGCAACCGCAGCAACCGCAGCAACCGCAGCATGAATTATCTTAGACATTATTAAATAACCAGAAAGATATAAATACCCCATCATTTTTATTTAAATAAAGACATTGAATTTCTACCTCCCACTTTTGACTTAACTTTTCAAGTGTTGTTTTCAATCACTCAAGACCTAAACACGGCTTGTTTTAACTTACATATTGTTTATTGCTCTTAACTGAAGCTAAATAAACTCTTCTATTAAGACCAGACGTAACATTCCTGCTCTTATTTCTCATTTACTTGGACAGACGTAACATTCCTGATCCTTATTCCTCATTCATTTTGGACAGACGTAACATCCCTGATCCTCATTTCTACTCACTGAGCTTAATCAAGACAACAGCTCCCTACTATTTACAACCTTGGACATAACCCATATACATTTTTACCTTACTTTACACTCATATCACTTCACAACCCGTCTGTAATAAACGATATTATTACTGGTGCTCACTACAAACATACACATAAACCGTTACGCAACTACCTGGAATACCCCAAATTCACCGTAACACCAGTACACATATACGCAAATTCCTTGCCACTATACTTGGGACGACTGAAACGATAGATGGAATCCTCGCACCAACCCATCAGTACAGAATGTAGTGTCTCGTATATATGCTGCTTCAATTTCCAACATGCCATTATATGCCCTTCATCTCCTTCTTTTGCATGTCTGAGGACCAACAAGCTTCGAAGCGTTGAGGACAAAAAATGGGGTTATATATACAACTTTTCAAGAAGCGGCCGTCGCCTATGGTTTTTTGGAGTCAGATCTGGAATGGAACAACTGTTTGGCTGAGGCATCCATTACCGCGCCATGCGCAGCTAGAATTCGAGCACTCTTTGTGTATATTCTCATCAATTCATCACCAACCGACCCACTTACCTTATGGAATAACCACCATGATCGAATGGCCGACGACTACTTTTTCGAAATGCGTAGAATGCTATCACTCTCCAATGAGGATGAGTTGCAACCTGATCAAATCGAGCAAAAATGCGATTGAATTCAACAGGCCACCATCTTTCCGAATTTCCCTCGATGCCACAAGACTTCATTACCAAATTAGATCGTCTGCCACTACTAGAAGCTCTGGAAATTGTAGAAAGATGCGAGTACAATATAGGGTATTAATTATTAACAATAAATTAAAAAAGGTTATAATAATTATATATAAATAATTGTTTAAAAATATATAGGAAAAAATAAAAAGTTAGACTATAATTTTTTTATTTTTGAAACTTTTAACCTTTTTTTTAACTTTTTTTTTAATTTTTTAAAATATTTAGGTTTTGTATAAACCTCTTTAAATATTTTAAAGTGATATATTTTTTAATGTTTAATGTTTAATTTAAAAAGTGGCGGAACAGTAGTGAGCATACCCTCCTCTACCCGAGGAATACTTGGACGACGGGTAGCTTGACAGTGAAAGGAATAACAAATTAATTAGCAATTTATTGCTAAATTAATTGTTATGGATTGATACTCATAGAAGTACAGCACTAGCTAATTCAAATTTTGCTTCCTATGTTAAATGAAGGCCAACATCATGCGTTCGATACCATTGCCAATGCCATCAATGCTTCTACAACTGAGTATACTTCGCGTATTTTCTGTGTCAATGGTTCTAGTGGTACAGGCAAGTCGCAGCTCTTCAAGGCACTCTTGAGCCACACTCGCTCCCACGATCAGATTGTCTTGCCTATTGCTTCTTCAGGTATTGCTGCTGTTTTGCTACCTTATGGGCGAACTGCGCATAGTCGCTTTAAAATTCCCTTAAATACCGATGAAAGCACGAGCTGTAATTTGCGTCTTGGTGGTACGCATGCATATCTCATACAGAGAGCATCGCTTATTACTTGGGATGAAGCAGTTATGTGTAGTAAGCACAATTTTGAAGCAGTCGACAGATCCTTGAGGAATATTATGGGTGCTGTAGATCCCTGCTTGGAATGTGTTTCGTTTGAAGGAAAAGTCGTTGTTTTCGGTAGTGATTTCTGCCAGCTACTCCCTGTTGTCAAAAGAGGGACATGGTCCCAAGCTGTTAGAGAATGCATTCGCTCTGCTTCTTTTTGGTCGGCAGTTCAAGTACTGCATTTGACTGTCAACATGCGAGTACTCAATGCAAGTCCTTATGCTGCAGCATTTGTCGATACCCTTCTCGCCATTAGTGATGGTCGTCCACCATTTACAACCAGCGTCGAGATACCACCAGAATGGCACATCAACATAAGCGATCCAATGTCATTGATTGACGCTATCTACCCTACTATCTGCAATCCCAATCTTCAACCACATGAGTTCAGTACCTAAGCTAGATTAGCAGCAAAAAATATCGACGTCGACATTATCAACAATACAGCATTCTCTGTTTTCCCTGGCACAGCACGTATATATAATTCGAACGACCGCGTCATTGATCACGATGACCTGGAAGCTGCTGCTGCCAACTATCCAGTTGAGTTCTTGAACAGCATTAGCGCAAGTGGTGTTCCAGCACATTTCCTATAGCTCAAAGTTGGCATGCCATTAGCTATCCTTCAGAACCTTGATCCTGACACTGGCTTATGCAGTGGTACAAAAGTGTTTGTCACTAGACTTCTTGAATGGAGTACTGGTGTTGAGAAAATTGATGAAGGATATGAAGGTACTGAGCATTATTTGCCACAGATTGATATGTGCACAACCGCAGGTGATTACCCATTCATCCTATGTCGCTGCCAATTTCCTGTCCAACCTGCATCTGTGATGACCATACATAGGGCTCAAGGTCAAACCCTTTCACATGTTGGCATCTGGCTTCAAGAAGACGTTTTTGCACATGGCCAGCTTAATGTTAATTTTTCAAGAGCAGCAAATCCTAATAACATTCGTGTCGCCATCGATCTGTCAGGATCTGTACCACTACAAAACACCAACATTGTCTACCAAGAAGTTCTCTTGCATCCGCCCACCTCTGCTCCTGAACAAGCTGAAAATTCACTACCAACCTCTCCCTCAACAATAATTACCGCATCTCCACCTCCATCACCTTAAGCCCATTTCTGCTCTTTTTCTTTTTGCTTCTAAACTCTTATTTTAACTTATTATCATATAACATATAATAGAATATTCTTACCTCTTCACAGTATTTTTTGTAAGTAGATCTGACGCGAAACAATAAAATATTGAACTACGCGAAGCTGCCGTCACCTTCCAGCTAATTACGACAAGCTGCAATAATCTACCATGATGTTTAAATGAAAGCGGATACATTGATGAACAATCAAAAATATGTAAGAGCTGTCGATAGCAGCAAATAAGTATTCCTCGCATTAATAGTGAAAATACTAGGCAAAAGTTCCTCTGTTGTCCCTTTCAAATTTGACAAACTAATGTGTAGTAGGGTTTCGTGTCATAGCAAGATTGATAATGTTTAGGGTTATATGTAGTCATAGCAATAAATAAGCTCGCGAAGCGAGCAGTTTCAGGTTTAGAAAAGGGTGTGGGGGGAACCCCCAGGAAATATCCAATCCATGGATGTTGATGCTTAATTTAAACAAAGGAGCTTAGTTACAATCATTATTATAAATTAATAATTAGTATATAACATATCTGCTCATTATAAAATTAAAATACTTACTTAATTTTTAATTTCTATACAAAAAGTTAGAACTTTAGTCCAAGTACCATGTCCATGCTCAAAAGAATTAGTGTTGTCAGTGATAAATGTATAAAATGCTACGTATACAGAAAACAAGTAAAAAGAGAAGGGTATGCTAGCAAGTGTCTATCCAAATTGATGCTTACTACATATAGCTCCAGAAATCAGTTAATGATGAAATTATATATAGATTCTGTATTTTGTAGATTGATATTATGGTAGATGAGCTAATGCATAGCAAACAGCAAATGGAAACGATCAGGTGAAGGATGTAGGAGAATTTGTACAGGTACATAATGTGTGGAATAAAAACTACAGATTATTTCTTTTTTGCTTGTCAGTACGAGTGCGGTGCTTCAGTCATTTCCAGGTGGATTGAGGAACTACTGTCGATGATTGAGAGGGTTTAGGTATCAGCTGCTAGTAACTTGAGCTTGAATGGGAAGGCAGGTCTAGAAGAGATGGTAGTAGTGGTGGATATGCTGCTGTTGCTTGGTACTATTGTGGCAGTAGAAGAGAGTAGTAATGCGGCCAATTATTGTGTGGCATATGTGGCAATGGGGATGCAGCAGGAGGATGAGCATAATAAAACGGACCATGCATCAGTTGATAATAGATACGATTTGTCTGTATACTGTTGTTATTCATTTTTGGTAAAGTTGTTGCAAATGGGTGCGCTGTTGCTGCTTGGTGTGTAGACAGGTTATTTTCAGGTAGTAATGCAGGAAATAAAAGCAAATTATCATCAGAAGGTACGACTTCTGCTTCAGCAGGTGCATGTAGTAGTGGCATCAAATTATTGTCATCCCTTCCAGGTGTTTGAAGCTGCAGTTGTATGACCAACGTTACGTTGTCATTGTTTCAGATTATTCATATGGCAAACTGGTTAGTTGTCTAAGTGCTATGATGTGTTTTTAAACACTCGATGGTTTTGTAGAAGATATCAACCCCATTCGCATGCTGTTCATTCTATTCTCGAGCAATTTGTTTCTAGGAGATTGAGCTCTGCTTGCCCAGATTACTCAATATCAAGCTCGCAAACAACATGTACTCCTTAGGTATATGGATAAGTGTACCAGTGTATTTCGTTCTAAGCTTCAATGTAATATACATGTACATTTGTCCTTGAGCAATGAAATATATATGCTTAGTTTTTGCACAAGAAATGGGTCAGAGCGGAACTTTCAAGGTCGTAATCAATTTTTTGGATATTAATATCACCAGCTGAAAGTGCAGGAAAGGAAACGATACTGAAGGATTCGTGAGTCATCTTAAGATATAAGGAGTTTTTAACAATGAGT